TAGGGGCGATCAGGCAGGCAGGCAGGTGAGCAGTTAGGAGCCAGCAGTCCTAGATGGATAAATCAAAATTGCGAGAGCAGGGGAGAAGTCATTTGAAGGGCCTGGTAATAAGCTCCATGAAGCTGGTGGCTGTGAAACTTTAAGACAGCTGACAATGGTGCTATAACTTTCTACACCCCTCAAAGCTTTCTCCAGTGATTAGGGAGGTGCATTAGAAATGAAACAATGGAAAAGTTATTACAGAAGTAGGAAGATGGGAGAGTACAGAGAGAAGAAAGAACTTAATTAAAACTCAGATCATCCAGGCAAAAGTATGGAAGAAACAATAAATGATGCTACTTCAGAGATTGCTCAATTTATGTCCTGGTCTGTTTAAAAAAAAAAATCCCTTTGTTAACAACTGTGAGATAGAAAATATCTGCTGGTGCACACAATGCATTTTAAAAATTTTATTATTTAAGGAGGATATAAAAAAGCTAATGACTTGGACAAGGGCTACCCATCAGAGTTTCTGTCGAAGGGAATGAGTCAGGAGTCAGGGATTCTCCTCATTAGTCACAAGTTTCCTTCAGGGTTAAAAGCACTCTCCACAGTGCTCAGAAAACACTCCAGGAGTGTTTTTTATATCATGGATCCCCAAATTAAGTATAGCAATCTAGAAATGTTTTGCTTATATTCAGCTTTAAAACCCCCCACAAAAATCACTCAACGGAGTAATGCTACAGTTTGTCAGGGATGGAGAAGAATTCCTATCTTTATGGTTAAAATTGTAGAAAACATCAAAAAAAGATCTGGAATATCTTTTTATTTATTACTGTATCTATGCCCAGAAATTGTGATAAGACAGAGGTTTTCCCAGGATAAACTCTTTTAGATGGTGGACTGTGGTTAAATCAAAAGGTAATTGGAGGAGAACTTGGAGAAATTTCTTAAAATGCTTTTATGAGCATGAATAAATAATGGATGCATATTAATGTAGACATACCTCTTAGTTTCCAGCAAATTATCTATACTAATAAAAGGCTAATATGCTAATTAGACCGGACATATTCTGGACATCCTTCTGTAGAAAGCCATTTTGGCGAGGCCAAGGTAGAAGCAGTTAGCCGCAATCAGGCTGGCAGGGGCAGGGCTGTTAGGGGCGATCAGGCAGGCAGGCAGGTGAGCAGTTAGGAGCCAGCAGTCCTAGATGGATAAATCAAAATTGCGAGAGCAGGGGAGAAGTCATTTGAAGGGCCTGGTAATAAGCTCCATGAAGCTGGTGGCTGTGAAACTTTAAGACAGCTGACAATGGTGCTATAACTTTCTACATCCCTCAAAGCTTTCTCCAGCGATTAGGGAGATGCATTAGAAATGCAACAATGGAAAAGTTATTACAGAAGTAGGAAGATGGGAGAGTACAGAGAGAAGAAAGAACTTAATTAAAACTCAGATCATCCAGGCAAAAGTAAGGAAGAAACAATAAATGATGCTACTTCAGAGATTGCTCAATTTATGTCCTGGTCTGTTTAAAAAAAAAATCCCTTTGTTAACAACTGTGAGATAGAAAATATTTGCTGGGGTACACAATGTATTTAAAACTATTATTATTTAAGGACGATATAAAAAAGCTAATGACTTGGACAAGGGCCACGCTTCCGTGGAAGGAAATGAGTCAAGAGTCAGGGATCCTCCTTATGAGTCACAGATTTGTTTCGTGGCCAGAAGCACTCTCCACAGTGCTCAGAAAACACTCCAGGAGTGACTGCCTGCTTGTCCAATTAGTTCTAAAAAAGCTAACATTTCTGCAAATTTAGTTTTGTTTAGGCCAAGATCAACCTTGAATCTCAAGGAACTATACTATGAATATTGAAGAGAGTGAAAATACATACAGAGAGTCTGTTGTATTACTAATTAAGATGTAGATGTGGCTTTATTAAAACAGCATTAATTTCCAAAACATTCCTATAAAAGATAAAATAGAGGCTAAGAATTTTGCTTTCAGGACAACCTTTAGAACCCAGTCAATGCCCAGAGGGACTGTTTCATTCTTTTGTGATGGCTCCGGTGACTTCTGGATAGTTCTATCTGCCCCTCTCTACCCAGTTTCAGGGCCTCAGAATGGAAGCTGAAATACTGGAGGCTGAAATATTGTAGCCAAGGTGGACAAAGGAGCCCCTTTTCCGTGAAGGTGTTTCTTTCTCTGAAGCTGTTAGTCCAGCATCCATCAGCATACATGAAGGTCATAATAAGGCCTCGTGACTTTCAAAGTATCTGTCTATGTACCAATTAACAGGGACTCTAATTGAAATATCACATTTTTTGAATGAACACATGTATGTTTATATGTAAGCTTGTGCCTAAAATAGATCTGGAGGGAAAACCATTTGTTATTACATGTCTTCTGAAAAACATGTCTTCTGGAATCTAGACATGAAAAACACCTTTTTTAAATTATTGGTTTTCCTTTTCATGAAGGAAACCAGTGCTACTTATCTATATTTTATCAATATTTATTATGGCTATAAAATCTGTTTAGTAATGATGATTTATACATCCTATTTTAGAGTTCGATTTTATTTGGGGGGCATTTAAAAAATTTTTCTATTTAAATGTTGAATTAAAGATTTAACCTTTTATAAATATGTGGCCCAAAATATTCTGTTAATTTTAAATTTTGGAAAGAAATTTTATTAGTCTTATGTGTACCTAATTTTTCTTGGCTTATTTAGATAGTTGGACTGTTTTTTAAACTATAAGGAAATAATTGGATTTTAATTGATAATCAGAAAGACACAGAGACTTTCTTTAATTTCATTATATTTTAATTTGTTTATCAACTATGTGTTGTGAAACTTCTTTCAGTGCAATATTTGTTGGAATATTTGTTGAAATATTGTTGCTAAGGTCATTTGTATAGGTTCCTTTTTAATTATATTAAATGTAAAGTCAGAACAATATGTAATATTTGTTATAAATTTTCTGGGCAAAAAGACAAATTTGACAATATTGAAAGAATGGATTGTTTACAAAGCAATAACTTTTCAGGTTCATAGTCTCGGGGCCTTTCTTTCTCCTAAACTCTGTGGGTCCCTACAGAGACTTGCAACCAGGGGAGCAGCAGGCAGCAGCAGCTCCTTCCAGGCTGACCCCCTGATCCTGTATCCAAGGTCCCTTTTCTCTGACTCTCCAGTGAGCTAAGCAGTCCCACGTTGGCTTACTTCTTTCCTATAATCTTTCCAGAGAGTCAAAGCAGAGCACCGCCTAGTCTCTCTCCTGTTGCTTCTACTACCCTGAGTCCTTCCTTTGTTCCATTGTCCCCAGCGTTAATAAAAATACTCTCAAAATCACCTGGACTCAAGAAGGCGATGCACAAGCTGGAAGCAGCTTCCAGCTCAGCTCCTTTGACTTGTCAAAGGGCCCTGGCTGGCTCATTTCCCCCCCCCCCCCCCCCCCCCCCCCCCCCCCCCCC